ACCAGCAGCAGCTGGCCACTCGGCTGCCATCCGGGCCGAGATCCAGCGCTTCGAGTCGGTCCATCCCAACATTTACTCCATCTATGAGCTGCCTGGAGCGCGTGGAGGAGCCGGTGCTGCAGAACCAGATCCGGGAGCATGTCATCGCTATCGAAGGTGAGGGCTGGCTGTCGCGGGGCTTCTGGAAAGCGCGGGGGAGCGGGCTCCACCGGGCGCGAGCGGCGTGCGCGCGTGTGTGTGCTTGAGTATGTACACACGCGCTGGGCCGTGGCACGCGGCTGCCCCGACCGAGTGAGCACTGCGGTGCTTCTTACCCTGCAGGCCGGGCGAGAGCCCAGGGCCGAGCTCTGCCAGGGAGGATGGGCAATAGAGTCTCTCCTGTGAGAAAGTGGCTGGACGCGGTTGTGTCCTGGGTCGCCCGAGTGACCCGACTGGCCCAGCTGATGCCTGGGGGTAGCTGGAGGGATCAGCGCCACCGGGACCGTGACAGGTTACCAGATCAGGGTCCAGCGTCTTGCTGGCTGTTGAAGATGTGTTTTGAGAAGTGCTGCTGTGGGGCATGAGGCTCTGCCAGCGTGTCTTTGCTCAGTTCAGGGGCACCATGGAGGCAGACAAGCGGAGCTCTTGCAGAGTCAGCTCCGTGGCAGGCAGCGTTGTGTCCTGTCCACCTGTCCCTGTGCCTCCAAAGAGTGTTTTCTGTCAAAGTCCCGGGCCGAATGAGAAAGTCCTTACTAGGAGGACAGGGGGTTCCTGAGCCTCAGGGTCTCACGTTCACATTCCTGGAAGCCAGCCACCCTTACTGCAAGTCAGGCAAGGTTGTGACCCTGCAGGAACCGTGAGGCAGCCGGGCCTCTCCGGGCCCCGTGTTCTCTTTGGATGACTGGTGGCTCTTATTCCTCTGCTCCTTGGCTTCTGGATTGTCTCCCTTATTCATTTGGTCCTGCCAGGATTCGCTGGGGAGACCAGCTGGGATGTAAACGTGGAATGTGGGGTTATATCCCAGCCACAATCAGCCAGCAGCCTTTCCCCTCTCATCCCTGTGGGCCAGTGTCCACAATACAGAACGGTCCTGATGGGAGGCCAGTAGGGACGCTGTTGAGGGAGGCCCTGCAGGAATGTGTCTGAGAGCCTGGCTGCAGGCTGTCACCCACCACCTCCGCTCCATCTTCAGGGGAGCAGGCATGGGCCACAGGAGGGCTCTGCTTTGGCACCACGCAGTCTGCACCACTAACCCCAGGTTGTCTTGGTTTGACACTTGGCCACTCAGGTGGAGAAGGTGAATATTGTGGTGCTGATCCTCTTGGTATTGGGCAGCCCCGGGGACTTGAACAGTGGCCTGGCCAGGCTGACGATTGGCTGGGCATATCCATAGAGGGCTTGCTAATTCCCCTAGAGGACCTGAGCAGTGCTCCAGTCTTCTGTGGGGCCTGGCTCTCAGTGCTCCTGGCCACTCTCTTGGCAATTTAAGATGCTTCCAGATTCCTCGAGAGGCAGGGGCTGCGGGTGGCCTTGGGACCTGCCCAGGATGCTGATGGTCGGGTGGTGGGGCAGTAGTGCTCCTCTGGAGCCCGAGCTCTGTTCTGTTGCCGTCAAGTGAGGGGACATTGTGCCTGTGTGCCTGTGTCGCTGTCTCCCTGCAGCTCTCTCGGGCATCCACCGGAGTCTGATGAAACACTTTGAAAGTCAGTGCCAAGTCCTGAGCGCACCTGGCTGCCAGCACCTCCTGGCTGTGCAGAGCCCTCCAGCTCAGCGTGATTCATGACACCTCATTTTCATTCCCCATTCTTGATGCCCAGCTCCAGGCGGGGGTGGGGGGTCAGGCACTTCCAGCAAAGCCCATTGATTGGGCTTTCTAGAAAGAGGATGTGGTTTTGTTTTTCTTTTTTAAAGAAAACACTGTGTGGTTCCTGGATGATGGTTTTTGGTAGCTTGATGTCTGCCATTATGATGTGAGACTTGAGTTCCCTTCTTGGCTGAATCCTTGTCATTTTTAATAAGACTCAGAATCCGTGAAGGAGTCCTGCTTGGGGCTCTGACGGTGTTGTTATTTTTCTGTCAGAAAAGGAATGTCTATCTTCTGTCAGAGCTGTTGTTCATTTAACGAGGCTTCAGAATCATCCGAATATGCTGTTCATGATTATCAGCAATATCACCTTCATTTATATAGAACTTTATCGAAAATCCTCTTGTACGCGTGATCGCACGGTGTCCGGGAGAAAGTGGGCAAGCTTTGTTTTCATCAGTTTGTAGAAGATGGAGGTTCAGGGAGGGAAAGTGACCTCCTGAACATTCGACTGGGGTCATTCAAAGTGTGGTGTGAACCAAAGGGCCATCTGAACAGAGAGCCTGGATCAGCAGCCTCCCAAAGCGCCTCGCACGGCCCCTTCTAAGGAAATGTGAGTTCGTGTGTTGTGATGAAATGTTCTCCCACCCTCTGCCAGTTGTAAGATATGGTTGTGATTTATGTCTGTATCCTTGATGTCCTGGAAATTGAGACGTTTTCTCAATTGTGGCAGGGCAGCTTTTTTTTTTTTTGTATGAGAAGAGAACTGTGCACAACAGTTTTGTGCAGTGGTGTAGGGTGTGGGTTGCCCACTCGTGCAGAGTCTGAGAGCAGTGCTGTGGGGTCCGGAGACTGCAGATGCCTTTGGAGGAGCCCTGTGGGGTCACTGCTGGGCACCGGATGGAGCATCACTGGGAACTTTCCCTCAGACACTTAGGTCTGCCTCTGCCCGTGAGCCTTGCAGTTAGGATGCTACAGCGGCACAACATACATCTTTTCCAATTATGAAATATAACCAACCATTTCCAATCAGGAATGTATATGTGTATCATAGCACATAGTTTAAAAATAGCTTGTCCCACCACAGGGAGACAACTGCCTGTGAGAGGCTGTCCAGCGAGGCTTTCCCCGCCTGTGTGCACATACGCAACATTGGAGTCACACTTACGAAGTTTCGTGATTAGCATAACGTGAGCGCGTTTCAGTGTTATGAAAAGTTTTGAACATGTGATTTCTCATGTTGGCAGGCTGTTCTAGCATTTGGCTGTGCCATGATTTCTTTAACATTTCTCTTTCTCTGGCAGCCTCGGGAGTTTTTGCTGTTGGAATGGGGAGTGGCCTTGTCAAAGGGAAGGATCTTTTGGCTAAAGCTCATTTCAAAGTGATTCTAGTGGGCCTGGATTGGAAAATGTCTCATCAGATGGACTGAATTGTATATATGGTAGTTGCAAGAGCTCACGAGGATTCCCAGATAAAAATGGGTCTGTGACTCTGTGCGCAGGCACAGGGTATGGGATTTGTTGTCCATCTTCCATCTTGTTTTAAAACATTACCTTGCCCCCTGTTTTTTTTTTTTTCTTCATATCTTTATTTCAGACTTTGAGGGATCTGTGCCCCCCCCCCCCCCCCCCGCACCCAGTTCTCTGGAGTTAGAGGAGCATTGCTGATGGTTTTCAGATTGACCTGATCAGATTTCTGGGGTGTCCCACAGGGGTGTGGCATGCTGTGAAATGTTAACCCTGCAGCTTGGGTACTCTCCGTGCCCAGAAAAGCGCCTGGGAGCGGCCTGCCTCCAGTGTGAGCAGCTTGGCTAGGTCTCCCCTTCTGCTTCTTCTTTAAAAAGCCCGACTGGGGTTGATGGGGTTGAGGTAAATGAGTCAACTGCCTCTCTTGTTAGAGAAAGCTTGTTCTTTTCGGGATAAAGTCTCTGTTTGCAATTGCACATTGTAATTCAGCTTGCCAGCAGCAGAACTGCAATGCCTGTGATAACTCGGCCAGCTCATTCAGCCAGAGCCCTGCTCGGACCCCCAACCAGCTTTCCAGGCGGCAGATCAGCAGGGACCAAGCCTCCCCCTGGCACCGCCAGTGCTTTGTGTGGCTTCCTTGGAGGGGGCCAGAGAGATCATGATGGCCTGGTCCTTGGTGGGAGAACTCTGCCTGGACGCCTGGTAAGGGCACTTGCACACGGGGATTCCAGGGCTGGGCCAGGGGAAAATGGGGCAGGGGTCCCCCTAATCCCATGGAACAGCTCCTTTGTTCAGCGTCTGTGCTCAGCAGAATGTTAAGTGCTTAACCTGCATGATGTCATTTCATCCGGTGCAGTTTTGTGACATGGATGGCACCTCTGAGGCCCAGACAGTGTAGCAGACTTGCCCGAGAGATGGACTGGGCTGCGCTGGCTCTTCAGCTCCGTGTGAGGTAGAAACGGAGCTCCTGGCTATTCACAGCCCTGTGTGCAGGCCACCCCAGGCGTGTGTCCTGCGTTGGAGAGGGTTTGAGAATGTTGCAAATAACCAGAAGTATCATGTTCTCTGCAGAGTTGCTACCACGACAACACTTGAGTAGGAGTTTGTTCTCCTATAGAGTTTGTTCTCTCATAGAGATGTATTTAACGTGTTTGTAGCAGGTGTATGCTTTAGGGAACAAACATCTTCCCTCCACGGATGAGCTTAATTTGTTCTTGGTCACTATCGAGTGTATTTGTAATTCTTCAAGTTTAATCAAATGGCACAGGTTTCGGCCTTTTCATTGCTGATATAAATGTCACAATTTTCTCCTTAAAAATAATTCTCACTTGGCTCTTCGTCGCTTCCAGGTTAAATCTCATGCCTATGGGCAGTGACCAACCCCTTCACATCCAGGTGTCCCCTCCAGCCTGATGTCAGCGTCCTTTCCCCCTCTCCCTGTCACAACGAAGGCCTGGCCCGCCAGCTCCCGTTGGCTTCTGTCCTCACACTGCTCCAGCCTGAAGGACTGGGAGCTCTTTGAGGGCAGAAGTCAGGTGTGTTCATTTTTTATCTCCTCAGTGATTCACTGTGTTGTGTTTTGCCCTTGGAGGCTGCCCAGGAATTGTTGGTTGACTGGTTGACTTGCCAGAGAAGCTAACGTTTTCCCCGGAGTTTGGGTCCTTTTGCTCCTCGTTGTTAGTATAAACAGTGTTTGTCCAATGGCCGGAGTGAGGGCATTTGAAACATCTTGGAGCACAGATGTTAGGGCTGTGCACCTTTGGGATCTGGTGCGTAGCTTGGGTGAAAAGGAGATTTTTCTTTAGTGTACGAAGGGTAAGAAAAAGAGCTGCTTGCTGAATCCTGGCAGCTTGTGCAAAAGGCTGGTGTTTCTTTATGTTGGTGTAAGTGAGTTTTAGACGTAGGAC